GCAGCAGAATATCATTAGCTTTGTACGTAGATGAATACAATGGACAGCCAATTTGATTAACTTTTGATGCTGGCCATTGGGCAGGAGACAAAATGAAATTACACTGGTCCCTGGCACGGGCGGGCTGCGGGGAGCAGGGCGTGGAGGTCAGCGGGGGCCCGGACGTCACTCCGGGTGCAGGCCAGGGGCTGACCTGGAAAGTCGGCACTTTGTGAACAAGTCAGTTCTCGTTTGCGAGGGTTACAGACCAGCTCTTCGGGGCCAGGCGCCGTGACGGTGACACCTGTGTGCAGCCTTTCCTGCAGGCCGCCCTCCGGTGACGCAGGCCAGCATGGACAGTCAAGCTGCCTCATTCAATTAGGCTGGCCATCCGTGAGTTTATTATGCCGGAGAAGATCAATGAAGCTCTGCATTGATTGAAGCAGAAGCCTTGTTTCATTTATTGTTTATAATCTAATGAATGTTGCAGTAACTTTGCTTTGATTTATTACTCAATCTGTTAAATTGTTTTAAAACCAGGAGTCTAGGGGCTTCCCCTTGTGAGAGAGATGGTCGTTCCCCTTGTTAGTAAAGGCGTGTGACTCGGTGCATCGGGCTTGGCTTCTCGGAGCTGCTGTGAGGCTGGGGTTGGCTTGTCCTCTGAGACCTGTGGCATGCTGGCTCCGAGCCGTGGACCCGTCTCCTGGAGAGGTGGGGGATACACCCCTGTGTCTCACTCTGTCCAGTGATTCTTGCCGCATGCCAGGCCTTGTGCTGGGGACGCAGCAGTGACCAGGCCTCCTCAGGGAGCTCCCTCCCCTCCTGGTAGAGAAGGAAATAAGCACACAGCCAGAGTGGGCAGCACTGCAGAAGGGGGGGGGGGCGGCTGTGCAGGGGCTGCAGTCCAGGAGGGCTGCTCAGAGGAGGCGGCATTTCTGTTGGAACGTGCAGCCTCAGGGCTCACATGAGACGAAGGTGGCGAAACGGGAACACCTGTGGTGGCAGAGCTTGGCCGTCCTCGGGCCAGGGGCCAGCGTGGCCAGTGCTTTGTGAGCCGGGGGGCTGTGGTGAGGGCGGTGACTGGAGAGAGGGGGACAGGGCCAGGCTTCTGGTGGGCCTGCAGCAGACGGGGTGGGGGGTGTGGAGGGGCAGGAGTGCGGGGACCACAGTGGCGCAGGAGGCGGGGCCCCCCTGGAGCCGGGACAGAGGGCCACCAGTGCCGTGAGCGGTGGTCACACAGGGAGGGGCTGTTCAGGGAGGGCGTGGTGGTGGGCACTCCCCATCCAGGGAGGCCCAGGGTTCCAACAGGAGAGAAGGGCCATGCCACAGGGCTCCGAGTCTGTGGGACGTGCGCGGGGGAGCTGCGTGTCCCACGCCCGAGGCTGACCCCCGGCAGCACCACGCTGGAGCTGGCAGCTGGGAGACAGGGCCTGTGAGGCTGCCTGTGGAGTCGGAGCAGGGCCCCCGGGGGGGCCTGAAAGTGGCGTCCTGCGGGGTCAGGCGTCCACGCTGCGGGGATGTCAAGGGTCCCGGGAAGCTTCACTGACTCACAGGTGGGCCGTCACAGACTCAGCTCAGCGAGGTCACCGGATAGTGAGGAAGAGGACCAGGCCGGGAGCAGGCGAAGGCCCTGGACGCAGTCCAGCCGCCGGAACCCAGCGAGCGTGAGCACGTGCGTCGTGATCAAACCAGCCTGGGGCCAGGAGTGCAAGGCTGGCCTGACTTTTTACACCCTCTTAGAGCAGTGATCCACTTTAACCACCTATAAAGCAGACCTGAGTGTGGTTCAAGGCGTGCTGCGTTTACAGGAAGGAAGACCGAGTGCTGTGAAGATGTCCGTTGTCCCCAGGGCAGTCTGTGGGTGAGACCTTGACCCCAGCAGGATGTCTGGGTCTAATTTGGCAGCTGTTGGGGAGTTTCACTTGCAAGTACAGATGGCCAAAAATAACGAAAGCAATTGTGAAGAAAAGCAAAACGGGGCATTTATCTATGCTACTGAATGTGAAGACTTATTAAAAAGCTAAACTAGGGGAAAATGCTGTTAGAAATAGACCGATGAGAAGAGTTGAGAGCCCAGAGAACAGACCCCGGGATAGATGGAAGTGTGGCCTTCTCGTGAATGACGGGGAACCACATGGATGGAATGATGGAATCGGCGTGGATGAAGTAGCACCGGGCTCCTGTGCCCTGCCCACAGATACGTCCCTGGTGTTGGAAAAAGCAGCCTTACGCCTCTTCCCTCTCAGCCCGGCCCTGCCCCCGCCCTCCAGTCGCCCCCCTCACCACAGCCTCTCTGGCCGCGCTGGCCTCCAGCCCGAGGACAGCCATGCTCTCCCATCTCGGGCATTACCTGCTTTGCCAGCCTCTTCTCATGTGAAGCTGGATGCTGCTGGTTTCCATGGAAACGCTGCCTCCTCTGATCAGCCCGGGTATCAGAGAGCACCGAGGCTCGTTGTGGAGTCAGAGGGAACTCTCGCCAAACAAAGCATGGAGGCCTAAAGCCGTGAAGGAGATGGCGACTCGTTTGACTGCCTTGAACGTAAAAGCTTCCGTCTAGTGAAGGATGCCACAGAAAACTGAGAAGGTGAGCCGAGGCCTGGGAGAAGCCCTTCCTCGTGCAGGTGACAGACGCGGGGAACAGAGCGTGGACGCAGGGCAGGAGCACAGTGCTCGAGAGAAACCCGCGCGTCCGTTGACAGAAAGGGCTGCGCAGCTGCCCCAGAGCAAGGGACACGGGGGAGACGACTGGTGGGCACCCCAAGGGCCTGCAGCCGCTGTCTGTCACCTGCTCTGCCGGTACCAGGTCTGGGCAAGGGGGCAGGCAGCGGGGTCGTCACGGCGCCGTGGAGAAACCTGCGTGGGAGGTGCCCGCCCACCGAGACCCAGAACCTCCAGCCGCGTGTCACACACATGCGTGCGGGGATGTGCGTGTCGCTCGCATGTGCTCAAGGACGCCACGCCTGTTCCCTGTAGCGTCAGTGCCCGTAGTGAACACCTTGGACACGCGTCAGGGTGTGAGAGGACGTGTGTGTCTCCCTCTTCCGTGCGTCTGGAGAGCAAACCTGCCCCCGTGGCCCTTCCTCGGCCAGTTTGACCTGAGCGTCAGGGGCCGTCTGTTCCCCGGGGAAGCCAGCAGTCTGACACGGAGGTGAGGGTGTCATGCTGAGACGGTGGGTCCCGGAGCATCCGATTCGTTTGCCAGCAAGAGGCGGCGGACACATATCCGCGGGCTGGCCCCGGCAGCTGCGTCCCCTCCCTCGGCGGGTGGGCGGCGGCTTGTCTGCGGGGCCCTCGGCAAACCCGCGCTTTGCGTCTGTTGGACGTCTGCAGAGGCACGGCTTCCTGTCTGGTGCGGGGGGCAGTCTCCCCGCACCCTGTCCCCTACCCTGGGTCAGCGGCTAGATGTCTAGAGTGCGGCTCGTGGTCCTCAGCTCTCAGCCCCCCAAGGCAGACGAGTGCCCGGGTGCAGCTCTGGGTCCCATCAGCCGTCAGCCGACTCAGTCACTGCGGGAGACTGTCTTTGCTGCGTTTGCAGCATTTGCAAATGCTCGAGGGATCTCGCGACGCCAGGAGAGTGGAACCAGGGGCCCTGGACCACATCTCCTGCCGCATTCGCCCCTGGTGCTCGCGTGGGAGCCACAGGGCCCCGGACCCAGGCTCATGCTGCATCCCTTCAGAGCCCTGCCCCGAGAACTCTGGCCGCTGGGTCCCCGTAGCCTTGGGGCGAGTCTGTCCCTGCGGCTGCACTGCTGCCCTCGGTCAGGACTCCTGCCCGTGCCTGAGTTCCGGTGGACACAGCAGTGGCTGGCCTGTGTTTCACTAGTGGAGAATTAATAAGCACTCCTGACAGTCAGGTTTATAAATATGTAAAAAGCATTTTAATTGTTTCTAGCAAAGCAGGCAAGGAGTCAATACTCTCCGACAAGACGAACACTGCTGACAGGGGCGGGGTCAGAGGACCCATGGGCCGGCGCCCTGTCCTGCTCGCTCCCCTCCAGGCATCCTCGCAGCTGCTGACAAACGGGTCCTGAACTGCATTGATGGGGTCGGCTAGATGTCAGAAAAGTTGGGTGGCACTTTGACTTGAAATATTCATTAGAGCTAATTATGGATTTTCTGACTCCATGAATTACAGTTTCTATTCCTACATTGGCAATTTATTTTCCATTTATCATAAACTTCTTAATATTATATTAGCTTTATTGCATTCAATGAGGCAATAGTTCAAATGTTTGCAATCACGTTTATTTACTTAGGCTTTCCTCACAGAGATGAAAGGATGCCCATTTACAGGCCAGCATGAGCAGAGCAGCTGTTAGGATTCGCTGGCAGGTGTGGTCCTGGCACTTCCTGGGGTCCTCGTGCTGCTTGAGGCCTCCTCTCGGAGGGGCTGCCCGAGGTCAGAACAGAAAGCAGAGGCCGGGCCTCGGGCGTGCGCATGGAGGGTCTGCAGCTCCTCTTGGGGAGGGTACAGGGCAGCTGGTGAGAGCTGGGGTCGGGTGAGCGGCCTGTGGGCTGTTTATTCCGTGCCTGCATGAGCCCCAGCCACTGACCACACGCCTGAGTCCCCGTCACACACGCAGACACGCATGCACTCACACACCCCAAGTGAAGTTTGAATTCCAGGTAAACAAGTGACTTCCAGCTTCGGGTGCCCTGTCCCTCCCAGCCCGGGCCTGCACGTGGCCTTCTCCCAAGGGTGCGCTGGCCCGAGCTGGTCGCCCAGAGCCGCTCCCGGCGCCGGCGGGCGGCTGGTGGTGCTGCTCGTGGTCAGCGGCTCGGGGCAGGGGGGCCGCAGCTCCGTCCTGCAGGGTGGCCCCGCAGCGGACGCGGGCAGCGGGCTGGGCGCGGGGGCCTGGCTCGAGGCCGGAGCGCGGGGTGTCCGGCTCTGGAGGTGTGGGCGCTGGCTGCCGAGGCTCAGCGGCTGTGACTGGCTGCCGCGAGCTGGACTCGCCTTCTTGCGCAAAAAACCGCTTTAGAATCTCGTCACACCGCTCACTTGGTCTCTCTTTACTCTGCAGGCGCTAGGAAGCTTCTACTTTCTTCACGAATCCTTAAAAAGCATCTACCAATTTGACTTTAAAGGTAAGACGCCCCGCTGTCCTTTGCGCCCTCTGGGATTTTCTGTCCTGCTGGACCCTGCCCGCTGCCTGTGCTCTGGCTTCTCCCGGCCCCTTCTGCCCAGCGTCCCTGCGACAGGACTGCGTGGCCGGTTTGATCGAGGGTTTCCACGGTCACAGGCAGGGACTCAAGAGGACTCCTGCTTTGTGTCTTCCCTGAAGCCTCGATGGTCAGCCCTTCCCCTCTGGCCCGGGCCACACCCCTGCCACCCTCATGGCTCAGGCCAGGGACTCTGGTTTTCCTGTAATAGAGTTAAGAGGAGAAGGGAACGGTTTGTATCTGTGTGTCTGTCAAATGTGAGAAAGCGAGAAAAATGAAAAACGCAGCCAGACCGCGTGTTTCAGGAAAGAGCGGGCGAGAGTGTGTTTGTGGCGGTGCAGACAGCGCTGCCCGTGTTCACTGGGCAAGCCCTTTACGTCTCCGGGGCCCCGAGTGCCAACGTGTGGAGGCTGCGCGTCTGCCCGCAGGGTGCGTGTGCGTTGGCCGCTCAGGCGGGCTCGACTCTGCATGTTTAGAGTTGAGCTCTCTGAGTCGCACCAGGCCCGTGGAGCCGGATAACAGGCCTCTGCGATGCCTCCCAGGGGTGAGGACTGTGGCGCGGCCTGCCTCGCAGTCTGTTCAGAGTCATCCTCTCTGCTCACTCCAGAGACAGAGCGCGCCCACAGGTCGAGAAGCAGTGATTCAATCAGCCTGAGAACAGGGTCCCAGCAGCAGGTCTTCACCAGGCCGTTGCCTGCGGATTCTCTGCACCTGAGACGCAGCCCCTGGCTGCCCCGCCGAGGGGCTGAGAGCGGCCCAGCAGACCTGGAGGGAGCAGGCTGCTCTCCCCACGCCCTTGCAGACACTGGACGTTGAGTGTCGTGGCTGCGGGGCCATGAGCGAGGTTGGGGGAGGATGCAGACACAGTGGCTCCCGGCGCAGCTGCATCAGAAGGGCTTTGCTTCTAAGGAACCTGCACCTCTGGCGCTATAGGCACCACCTCTATTGAGCTTCTCCCCTTTTCAAGTAAGCCTTTGCAGAAATGCTGTATTACTACATCAAAGTCATCATGAAGTGCCTGGTTAGCCCAGTCTACTCACAGCTGTACCTTAGGTGTACATTCAACTCCAGCAAGACCTGTGCATTGTCATTGACAAGAACTGTGATAACACGAGCTGTGGTCACGCCCTGAGCCGACAAGCCGCAGCGTGGCGGGTGTTCCCACCGACCCACAGCGGTGGGCGCGGCCGGAGTCTCGGGCAGGCGCGGCCACCGGCCCTTGCCCCCCAGCCCCTGCTCTTCAAGGCTTGCATTTCTGCCTGAAACTGAGCTGCAGCAAAAGTAATCCAGATTTGTGCAGTTTGAACACACTTTAAAGAACAGACAGCCTGGGTTTTAACAGATATTTTCCTATTTAGAAAGTTGAGATGAGACAGATGAAAGGGGTTTCAGTTTCTGGTCCAACACGTGACAACCGAGGAAGTTGTTAGTTCAGCCTCACAGAAGAGACGATCCAAACCAGCAGTAAATAGGTGACTCTCCGTAGACCCCTCAGAGGAGCAAGGTCACGGGACAGATTGCTGCCCCTCAAGCTGGGGAGATGGCCGGGCAGGCCTGAGAGTCAGAGCCATGAGCAGAGACCATCATGCAGTCAGGTCATGGCAGGGAGACCACGCAGGGTCATCCTTAGGGCCTCCTTCGTGGGTTTGCCTCCAGGAGCCCCACCAGGTTCTCGGGATGAAGATGAAGGGAAATCCCTGCATGCCTCTGGCAAGGGAGGGGAGAGTAGCAATTCTGAAACGCCCAGAGCGTTCTGTTCCTCCCAGACGCCTGACCTCAAGGAAAACCCTCGACTAGAGTGCAGCCCACTGGGGTCTGATCAAGGCCCAGCCAACGGGGAGGGAGATAGACAGCCCCAGCCTCCCCTCAGGTTCCTGTCGCACCTGGGCAAGCAAGAGGAGCAGGTTAAATCCAAAGCAAGTAGGAGAGAAGAAACAATGAAAATCAGAGCACACAGCAATGAAACTGAAAACAGACACAGTACAGAAAATTAATGAAACCAGGAGCTGATTCTTTGAAAAAATCAGTAAAATTGGTAAACCTTTAGTCAGGCTAACAAAGAATAAAAGGCACTAATTAATATCAGAAATGAGAGAGGGGCCATCACTACTGATCCAATGGACATTAAAAGGATAATATAGGGATATTGTGAACAAGTCTGCGCCTGTAGATTTGATGACTTAGATGGCCCACTTCCTTGAAAGATAGTCATCAAAACTCATTCAAGGAGGAGTAGATAATATGAATTATCTGTTAAAGGAAATTCAGTCAGTACTTCATAACCTTCTAAACAAGAAAGCCTCAGGCCCAAATGGTGTCACTGGTGAATTCTACTAAAGTTCAAGGAAGAAATTATACCGATTCTTTAGAATCTCTCCCAGAAAGTAAAAGCAGAGGGAAGACGTTCTAATTCATTCTACACAGCTAGCATTAGCCTGATATCAAGACTAGACAAAGATATTACACAAAAGGAAGAGTACAGGCCAGTATCTCTCATGAACATACAAAGCAAAATTCTCAACATATTGATAATATTAGCAACTCAAAACTAGCAACATATAAGAAAAATTATGCACTGTGACCAATTCAGATTTACTCTAGGTATGTAAGCCTGATTCACCATTCAAAAATCAATCAATGTAATCCATCACATCAATAGGCTAAAAGAGAAAATCACATGACTATGTCAATAGATGTAGAAAAAAAATTTGAGAAAATCCAACGCCAATTTATAATAAAAACTCAGGAAACTAGGAATAGAGGAGAACTTCCTCAACTTGGTAAAGAACAGCTACAGAGATTCTGCACTAAGTCATGCTTAATAGTGAAAAACTAGATCTAGATGCTTTTCCCCTAAGGTCAGTATCTAGGTGGGGTGTCCACTCCCACCATTTCTCTTCCACATCACACTGGAAATCTTGGCTACTGTAATATGACAAGAAAAGGACATAAAAGTCTTGTTGATAGGAAGGTGTTGTCTTACGTCTTAGGTGACGAGTTTATATAGAAAATCCTAAGGAACTAACATCAACAGCAGTAGCAGCAAAAACGAGTGCCAGTAAGCAAGGGTGTAGGATGTGAGGTTAATAAGCATAAGTCAAGGGCTTTCGCTGATAGCATTTAACAGGTGGAACTCGAAATTAAGAACATAATATCATTTAATTAGCTCACATACCAAAAAGTACTTGGGAACAAACCTAACAAAATACATACAGTATTGGGGTTTCCTGGTGGCTCAGTGGTAAAGAATCCTCCTGCCAACGCAGGAGACACAAGTTCAACTCCCGATCTGAGAAGATCCCACACACCAGGGAGCAAAAAAGCCTAAGCTTCACACCTACTGAGCCAGTGCGCCAGAGCCCGGGAACTGCAGCTGCCGGAGCCCGCACGCCCTAGAGCCCACGCGCCACAGCCAGAGACGCCACCGCCGTGAGAAGCCCGTGCCCCTCAACCAGAGCAGCCCCCACACGCCACAACCAGAGAAAAGCCTGTGCAGCAGTGGAGACCCAGCACGGCCATACACAGATAAATTAGATTATTTTTAAAAGATACGTGCAATATCTCCATGAGAGAAACCATGAAATCTGATTAAAGGAATCAAAGAAGACCCAACTAGGTGGAGGGATAGTCCATGTTCATTTATAGGAAGATTCAGGATTGTCAAGTTCTTCCCAACTTGATCCATAGGTTCAACACAAGCTTGTTCTAAGTCCCAGAAAGTTTTCTTGTGGGTACTGACCAATTTATCCTAAAGTTTATATGGGGAGGAGGCAAAAGACCCAGAATAGCCAACCCAGTATTGAAGGAGGAGAACAAGATTGGAGGGCTGACACTATTCAACGTCAAGACTTTCTATAAAGTGACAGGAATCAAAACAGCGTGATGTTGGTGGAAGAACAGACAAATAGATCAAACGGAATAGTGAGGACAGAAAAGGACCCTCACACCCAAAGTCAACTGACCTTTAACAGAGGAGCAAGAGTAATAAAATAGAGCAAAGATAGTCTCAACAGGTGGTGCTGGGGTCTGTCCACATGCAAGGAAACGAATCTAGTCACAGACCTTGCACCTTCACAAATGCTAACTCAAAATGAATCAGAGACCCAACTGTGAAGTGTGAAACTATAAAACTCCTGGACGATAGCATAGGAGAAAACGTAGGTGTTTTATTTTTTTTTTTTTTAATTTTATTTTTTAATTTTTTTTTTATCACAACCATAGTGTATCTTTTTTTTTTTTTTTTTTACATGTATTCCCCATCCCGGTCCCCCCTCCCACCTCCCTCTCCACCCAATCCCTCTGGGTCTTCCCAGTGCACCAGGCCCGAGCACTTGTCTCGTGCACCCAACCTGGGCTGGTGAACTGTTTCACCCTAGATAATATACGTGTTTCAATGCTGTTCTCTTGAAACATCCCACCCTCGCCTTCTCCCAGAGTCCACAAGTCTGTTCTATACATAGGAGTCTCTTTTTCTGTTTTGCACATAGGGTTATCGTTACCATCTTTCTAAATTCCATATATATGTGTTAGTATACTGTAATGGTCTTTATCTTTCAGGCTTACTTCGCTCTGTATAATGGGCTCCAGTTTCATCCATCTCATTAGAACTGATTCAAATGCATTCTTTTTAATGGCTGAGTAATATTCCATGGTGTATATGTACCACAGCTTCCTCATCCATTCATCTGCTGATGGGCATCTAGGTTGCTTCCATGTCCTGGCTATTATAAACAGTGCTGCGATGAACATTGGGGTACACGTGTCTCTTTCAGATCTGGTTTCCTCGGTGTGTATGCCCAGAAGTGGGATTGCTGGGTCATATGGCAGTTCTATTTCCAGCTTTTTAAGAAATCTCCACACTGTTTTCCATAGTGGCTGTACTAATTTGCATTCCCACCAACAGTGTAAGAGGGTTCCCTTTTCTCCACACCCTCTCCAGCATTTATTGCTTGTAGACTTTTGGATAGCAGCCATCCTGACTGGTGTGTAATGGTACCTCATTGTGGTTTTGATTTGCATTTCTCTGATAATGAGTGATGTTGAGCATCTTTTCATGTGTTTGTTAGCCATCTGTATGTCTTCCTTGGAGAAATGTCTGTTCAGTTCTTTGGCCCATTTTTTGATTGGGTCATTTATTTTTCTGGAGTTGAGCTGGAGGAGTTGCTTGTATATTTTTGAGATTAATCCTTTGTCTGTTGCTTCGTTTGCTATTATTTTCTCCCAATCTGAGGGCTGTCTTTTCACCTTGCTTATAGTTTCCTTTGTTGTGCAGAAGCTTTTAAGTTTCATTAGGTCCCATTTGTTTATTTTTGCTTTTATTTCTAAAATTCTGGGATGTGGGTCATAGAGGATCCTGCTGTGATTTATGTCGGAGAGTGTTTTGCCTATGTTCTCCTCTAGGAGTTTTATAGTTTCTGGTCTTACATTTAGATCTTTAATCCATCTTGAGTTTATTTTTGTGTATGGTGTTAGAAAGTGTTCTAGTTTCATTCTTTTACAGGTGGTTGACCAGTTTTCCGAAACGTAGGTGTTTTAGTGATGGTTTAGTGATGACTCTTCAGATGCAACACCAAAAACATGCCCTGTGAAAGGGATAACTGTGAGCTGGACTTTACTGGAGTGAAAACCATGTTCTCTCTCTGTTAAGAGGATGAGAAGATCAGCCACAGACTGGGAGAAAACATTTGAAAAGGCACATAAGGACTGTTATCCAAATAAAAAAGAACTCTTTAAAACTCAGCAATAAGAAAACAACACAATTTAAAAGTAAGCCAAAGAAAGGCAGTGCCAAAGAATGTTCAAACTACCGCGCAATTGCACTCTCCTCACACGCTAGCAAAGTAATGCTCAATATCCTCCAAACCATGCTTCAACAGTATGTGAACTGAGAACTACCAGGTGTTCAAGCTGGATTTAGAAAAGGCAGAGGAACCAGAGACCAAATTGCCAACATCCATTGAATCACAGAAAAAGCAAGAGAGTTCCAGAAAAACATCTACTTATGCTTCATTGACTACACTAATGCCTTTGACCGTGTGGATCACAACAAACTGCGGGGAATTCTTAAGAGATGGGAATACCAGACCACCTGACCTGCCTCTTGAGAAACCTGTATGCAGATCAAGAAGCAACAGTTAGAATAGAACATGGAACAACAGACTGGTTCCAGATTGGAAAGGAATACATTAAGGGTGCATATTGTCACCCTGCTTATTTAACTTATATGCAGAGTACATCATGAGAAACGCTGGGCTGGATGAAGCACAAGCTGGAATCAAGATTGCCGGGAAAAATACCAATAACCTCAGATATGCAGATGACACCACCCTCACCCTCATGGCAGAAAGTGAAGAAGAACTAAAGAGCCTCTTGATGAAAGTGAAAGAGAACAGTAAAAAAGCTGGCTTAAAACTCAACATTCAGAAAACAAAGATCCTGGCCTCCAGCCCCATCATTTTATGGAGAATAGATGGGGAAACAATGGAAATAGTGACAGACATTATTTTCTTGGGCTCCCAAATCACTGCAGATGGTGACTGCAGCCACGAAATTAAAAGACACTTGCTCCTTAGAAGAAAAGCTATGACAAACCTAGACAGCATATTAAAAAGCAGAGACATTACTTTGCCAACAAAGGTCCATCTAGTCAAAGCTATGGTTTTTCCAGTAGTCATGTATGGATGTGAGAGTTTGACTATAAAGAAGGCTGAGCATCAAAGAATTGGTGCTTTTGAGCTGTGGTTGGAGAAGACTCTTGAGAGTCCCCTGGACTGCAAGGAAATCAAACCAGTCAGTCCTGAAGAAAACCAATCCTGAATATTCATTGGAAGGACTGATGCTGCTGAAGCTCCAGTAGTTTGGTCACCTGATGCAAAGAACTGACTCATTTGAAAAGACCGTGATGCTGGGAAAGATTGAAGGTGGGAGGAGAAGGTGACAACAGAGGATGAGAGGGTTGAATGGCATCACCAACTCAATGGATATGAGTTATAGCAAGCTCAGGGAGATAATGAAGGACAGGGAAGCCTGGCGAGTGAGCGACTGAACAGCAAAAGATTTGAACAGAATCTCACCCAAGAAGATACACAGATATGATGAAAAGCTGCTGCTGCTGAGTCACTTCAGCCGTGTCTGACTCTGTGTGACCCCATAGACGGCAGCCCACCAGGCTCCGCCATCCCTCGGATTCTCCAGGCAAGAACACTGGAGTGGGCGATGAAAAGCTATTCAACAGCATATGCCATCAGGGAAATGCGAGTTAAAACCCCCACACACCTGTGAGAACACCTGAAGTCTGCTGACACGCTGGTGGGATGTGGGGCAGCAGGAAGCCTCCCTCTTTGCTGGTGGGGAAGCAAAACAGTCCAGCCTCTGCGGTTCACAGCTCAACGATTTCTTGCAAAGCCAGACACACTCTTATATTTCTTGGGATTTACCCAAATGAATGGAAAACTTAATGACAACACACAGACCTGTACAGAAATGTTTATAGCATCTTTTTTCATAATTAGCAAAAACTGGAAATAACCAGAGTGTGTCCTTCATAGATGAAGGAATACACAGACTGTGGGCCATCCAGACTTGAAATATCTTCCAGCAGCAAAACGAAATGGCTGTCAAGACACAAAAACTCATGGAGGAAGCTCAAGCGTGTGTTCCCGAGGGAACGTGGCCCGCTGGGGAAGGCCAGCCACGGTGGAGGCCGCAGAAGTGAGGCTGGCTGACCCGGGTTGGGTGGAGTGTGGCTTCAGGGCTAAGGAAGTGCTCTGTGAGGCTGCGGTGGTGGATAGGTGCATTTGTGATGTCTGCATTTGTCCGGACCCCCAGCACGCATGAGCTCACCAATGCAGGCTGTTGGGAAGCTATGAGAGTGAGTTAATCACTCAGTCATGTCTGACTCTGTGTGACCCCGGGAGCTGTAGCCAACCAGGCTCCCCTGTCCTTGGGATTCTCTGGGCGAGAACACCGGAGTGGGTTGCTGCGCCCTCCTCCAGGGGATCTTCCCGACCCAGGGACTGAACCTGGGTCTCCTGCACTGCAGAGGATGGGAACGCTCCACTTTCAGCTCAATTTTGTAATCCCCAAGCTGCTCTAAAAGGAAAATCTTATTTGTTTAAGAAAGACCAAGGTCTCCTCCTACCCACCCCTCCCCAGTCTCCTCTTTCCTCAAGGGACCCAGGTTTCATCTCAGCAGAACTGCCTTCTGCCGTGGCCCCCACCCCCGCCCTCCTGCTGGCGTGCCTCCAGGCGGTCCTACGCCTGTGCCCACCTGGCGTGCCGAGGGCGGGGGTGTCTGTCCCGAGGACGTCCGTCTGTCCTGAGGATGTCAGTTCTGGGGGCCTCCACCCCACGCAGCACACAAGCCAATGCCCCGGGCTGGCTGTGGCGAGGATGCAGCTTTGCTCCAAGGATCCCTGTCCTGAGCAGACCTTTAGAAAGAACTTCCTTTATTCTCAGGTCCGGGCCAAACCCAGACCACGGCTGTTAGCTGAGAGGACCCTCGGAAGGCGGGATAAATACCCGTGCAGGGCGCCCGGACGTGCGGGCCCCGTGGTATGCCTGGGGCTGCGGCTCCTGCTCCCCTGGAGGCCCCTCGGCGGGCAGCGCCTCCCACTGCTGAGGTCAGACGACGGGAGGAGGGTATTCCCAGGGCTGGGCAGAGGGCGGCAGGGCCAGGGCCGGACCTCCACGTGGCCCGTGCCCTCCGCAGATGCCGTGGGGGCCCAGGCTGCCCCTGGTTCCTCCGGCCCGCTCAGCCCCGCCCTGCTCCGTGGGCTCCCTGACCACCCCTGCCCTGACCCCACCCGTGCTGCGCACTGGCCGCCGTGCTCCCGTTCGGGAGTGGACTCCCTCCATCCTGGTGGTTCGGGCCTCTCTCGGCCTTGTCCGTTTACCCTCCCCCCGGCGCCAGCTCGTGGGCCTTGGGAGGCGGCAGTCTGGGGACCTGGGGGGCAGTTGAGGTGCAGAGGCGCCCATCGGCAGGGGCCCGGCTCACTGGTTTGGGGACGAGGTCAGAGGTGCGGCGGGCCCTGCGCAGCCCTGCCCCGGGGGGGCCTCTCGTCACATCCCATCTCTGCTCCCTGGGCTCGCCGAACAGGCACTGCTCCACAGAGGCCAGCTGGGGCTGCTCGCAGGACCTGGGGCCGGACCCGGGGCACTCTGGCAGGAGAGCTAATCCTCCGCCTGAGCACCCAGGGCCCTCCCCACGGCCCGCAGGGAGCAGGGGAAGTGTGATGTCCCCACAGCGGCGGGGCGGGGGAGGGGGCTCCCCAGGGCCGTCTCAGCAGGCCCTCCTGCGGCCAGGCTCCCTGCCGGCATCTGGGGGGAGCTCGCAGCCTTCTGCCCCCGGCCCAGTGACAGTGTGCGTTTAGCCCCATGGTGGATGCAGGGACGATGGTCTGTGAAGGGAGTGATCCTGGCCTGGGTGTGCAGAAGCAGACTGGTCCTGTGTGCGGGGGTCGGCTGGATGCGGGGCGGGCGGGGAGCCGGCCTAGAGCTCCCGGCCACCTTGCCTGCGCCCCCCCACCCAGTCCCACATAAGGACTCCCCTTCCCTAGCTGTGAGTGATGGCAGGAGGAAATCAATGTTATTAAATAAATTTACCTTGAGCACGAGTGGACGGTAATGCCACAGCCCTTTCAAGTGCAGCCGTTTGCTCACAGGAGCCAATTAGCCCCCTGTAAACCTGAGGCCAGGCGCTCCGAGGGAGATGAAGTCCAGGGTCAGGGTCCAGCCACAGGGATGGCGATTTATGGGCCCCGGGTCCTTGGGAGCAGCTGCCTGCCCGGAGTTGCGGCCCTCGCCCCGCACGCGGCTGCCCGGGTGGGACGTGGACCCCGTGGCCCTGAGCCGGGGGTGGGGTGCAGAACCAAAGTCACCCTGGGCCTTCTTCCAGCCAAGAAGTACAAGAAGGTGACGGGCAAGGAGATCTACTCGGACACGCTGGAGAGCACGCCCATGCTGGAGAAGGAGAAGTTCCCGCAGGACTACTTCCCTGAGGTAGGTCACCGCCGGGGCAGCCAGCCTAGTGCAGGCCTGGGCTGCAAACGCGTCACACTCCGCGAAAGGACATCCCCACCGCACCCCCATGCTGCCGTGCCCCGGCGTCCTGCTCTGCTGGAGGTTCGACCCGGGTGGGCTCGGTGGGGTGGCCTCGGGTGAGGGCTGGAGGACCTGTGGTTGATGTCAGCCGGCATTGTCACTCCCAGGCAGAAGGCCCTTCCCCCAAGGGTGCAGGAGGACTGTCCCTTGGGGCTCCCAGCAAACCTCGCTGAGCGTGTTGGTCTGCTGGTGAGACTCCCGACGGGAGTGCTGGGACTGGGGACGTAGGCCCTCGGGGGGCTGTCCCCATCCCCAGGGTGCTGACCAGCCCCCACACTCCCACAGGGAAAGCCCTGGGGTGCGGTTCCCCCCGCCCTGGGTGCCTGCTCCCCAGAGCTCCGGAAGCACACGGAGGTGTGGGTTGTTCCTCACCACTGCTGGGACACAGAAAGCCTGGGTGCGGTTCCTGTGGGTTTCAGGCGCTTTTGTACAATTTTGTTATTTTTATGCAGCCATTACGCTGCACACACAATTTTGGATCCCCGTACTTTTAGAGAATGTTGTAATAACCAGCATCTCCGGAGCCTCCTGACAGTGAAATCCACACGTTGACCAGGCAGATCACCTTCCCTGGGGGCCTGTGGACACAGAGTGGGACATGACCTGGTGAAGCTTGGGGGGGCGTGGAGAGCTGGGCATAGCCCTGCCCCCTCCCCCACTCTGGAGGAGCATCACCCCCCCCCTCCGCCCCCACCCCACACCTGGCACTTGAGCTGATTTCAGCAAGGCCACGGCTTTATTAACTTGCTTTATGACCCACTTCTGCGGTGAAGGAATTGTGGCCGCTTCCATGAAGGATGAGCCCCTCATCCCGCCAGGCACAGCTTCCCCATCCATTGTCCCCACCAAGGACTTGATGTCAGGGGCCGCCTCCCAGCCCATCCACCCCACCCGCCGCAGTCCCTGCCCCGGGGGCTGTCTCCTCTGCCCTGTGGGTTGGGGAGGGCGTGGCTGGGGCACCCCCCTCCCCTGACCCCCACCCCCCCACCCCAATGCAGCCCAGCCCCACAGTACCCCCAGGCCGTTGGCCAGAGCCGCGTTCAGGAGGAGGGTGGTCGAGCTTCCCGGGAACAGGGCAAGGGCTGAGAAGTCAGCTTGAGAGGCCGAGTCGTCTCCTGGCCCCACCCCATCCAGACTCCCCCCAGCTCCCCTGCAGCCAGCACTGACCCCGGCCTGAGGGGGACAGCAGTGGAAATGGTGCCGGCTCCGGGGAGGCTGGAGGGGGCAGTCTGCAGGACCACAGGGAGGGTCCTGGCCTCTGACGGGGGGAGAGCCAGTTTGCAGGGGTCCGGGGGGCACTTAAGGGACAGCCCTGAACCGGCCAAGTAGGAGGCTCTGGTACTTCAGCAGCTTCTCTGCAGGGGGGACCCTGACACCCCTGGTGATGTCCGGGGTCCGTGCACCCAGCAGGGAAGGCCAGGGCGCCTCGCCTGGTCAGTGCAGGGGCTGGACAGCCCAGGGGCAGTGCTAGGCCCGGGGCCTCACGGCGCAAGGACTTGAGGTCCGGGTGGGGAGCCTTTGAGGTAGCCCCCCCTTCCCCCCACCCCGCCTAAGCAGCTTAGTATCTTTCTTTCTTTTTTTTTTTTAGCTTAGTATCTTTCTTTGCGACTTTCTCTTTTAATCGGCACTCGATTCCTGAACCTTGACGGGCCGGGCAAGTGCGACCCCTGACTGGCAGGCACCCGGGCCGGCAGGCAGGCTGTGCTGGAGCCCAGCCCGCCGGTTCCCTCGCAGCACCACTGCCCCGGCCACTGCCCCCAGGGGCTTCCCAGTGTCCGGGACGTTGTCCCACTCCACACCCGCCAGGGCGGGACGCACTTGGTGACCCGGCCCGAAGTGGACCTGTGCGGCACATCCCCGTCTCCCCAGAGACTCAGCTGACCCCCCCCAGAGCCTCTCGTCCCCGTTGCTCGCAGCTGACTCGGAGGTTGGGGTCCTCTCACTGCCCTGTGGCCCTGGAGCCGGGTCCCCGGAGGCTCCCGGCCTGGGACTGTGGCAGTCCGCGGAGAAGCTTGTCCGTGAGGGCCGCCGCGTCCTCCTGGGCAGGCCGAGGAGCCCCACGGATGAGGCCACTCCCTGCAGGGAGGCCCCCGCGCCTGACCCAGAGCCTCCGCGAGCCCGGCCCGCCCCCAACCCGCCCGCTGTGGCTCCGGCCTGCACCCCTCCCGGGGCCGTGGCCCCCTCTGAGGGCACCCACACCCCTCACCCTCAGGCTCTGCTCTGCGGGGCGCCCTCTCCAGGGCCCAGCGTGCCTGGGGTCCCCGCGTCTCTCCCTCTCCAGGCCCCAGCGTGCCTGGGGTCCCCGCGTCTCTCCCTCTCCAGGCCCCAGTGTGCCTGGGGTCCCCGCGTCTCTCCCTCTCCAGGGCCCAGCGTGCCTGGGGTCCCCGCGTCTCTTCCCTCTCCAGGCCCCAGCGTGCCTGGGGTCCCCGCGTCTCTCCCTCTCCAGGGCCCAGCGTGCCTGGGGTCCCCGCGTCTCTTCCCTCTCCAGGCCCCAGCGTGCCTGGGGTCCCCGCGTCTCTCCCTCTCCAGGCCCCAGCGTGCCTGGGGTCCCCGCGTCTCTCCCTCTCCAGGCCCCAGCGTGCCTGGGGTCCCCGCGTCTCTCCCTCTCCAGGCCCCAGTGTGCCTGGGGTCCCCGCGTCTCTCCCTCTCCAGGGCCCAGCGTGCCTGGGGTCCCCGCGTCTCTTCCCTCTCCGGGCCCCAGCGTGCCTGGGGTCCCCGCGTCTCTTCCCTCTCCAGGGCCCAGCGTGCCTGGGGTCCCCGCGTCTCTTCCCTCTCCAGGCCCCAGCGTGCCTGGGGTCCCCGCGTCTCTCCCTCTCCGGGCCCCAGCGTGCCTGGGGTCCCCGCGTCTCTCCCTCTCCAGGCCCCAGCGTGCCTGGGGTCCCCGCGTCTCTCCCTCTCCGGGCCCCAGCGTGCCTGGGGTCCCCGCGTCTCTCCCTCTCCGGGCCCCAGCGTGCCTGGGGTCCCCGCGTCTCTCCCTCTCCGGGCCCCAGCGTGCCTGCGGTCCCCGCGTCTCTCCCTCTCCAGGGCCCAGCGTGCCTGGGGTCCCCGCGTCTCTTCCCTCTCCAGGCCCCAGCGTGCCTGGGGTCCCCGCGTCTCTTCCCTCTCCAGGCCCCAGCGTGCCTGGGGTCCCCGCGTCTCTTCCCTCTCCAGGCCCCAGCGTGCCTGGGGTCCCCGCGTCTCTTCCCTCTCCAGGCCCCAGCGTGCCTGCGGTCCCCGCGTCTCTCCCTCTCCAGGGCCCAGCGTGCCTGGGGTCCCCGCGTCTCTTCCCTCTCCGGGCCCCAGCGTGCCTGGGGTCCCCGCGTCTCTCCCTCTCCGGGCCCCAGCGTGCCTGGGGTCCCCGCGTCTCTTCCCTCTCCGGGCCCCAGCGTGCCTGGGGTCCCCGCGTCTCTCCCTCTCCGGGCCCCAGCGTGCCTGGGGTCCCCGCGTCTCTTCCCTCTCCGGGCCCCAGCGTGCCTGGGGTCCCCGCGTCTCTCCCTCTCCAGGGCCCAGCGTGCCTGGGGTCCCCGCGTCTCTCCCTCTCCGGGCCCCAGCGTGCCTGGGGTCCCCGCGTCTCTCCCTCTCCGGGCCCCAGCGTGCCTGGGGTCCCCGCGTCTCTCCCTCTCCAGGGCCCAGCGTGCCTGGGGTCCCCGCGTCTCTCCCTCTCCGGGCCCCAGCGTGCCTGGGGTCCCCGCGTCTCTCCCTCTCCAGGGCCCAGCGTGCCTGGGGTCCCCGCGTCTCTCCCTCTCCAGGGCCCAGCGTGCCTGGGGTCCCCGCGTCTCTCCCTCTCCAGGCCCCAGCGTGCCTGGGGTCCCCGCGTCTCTCCCTCTCCGGGCCCCAGCGTGCCTGGGGTCCCCGCGTCTCTTCCCTCTCCGGGCCCCAGCGTGCCTGGGGTCCCCGCGTCTCTCCCTCTCCGGGCCCCAGCGTGCCTGGGGTCCCCGCGTCTCTCCCTCTCCGGGCCCCAGCGTGCCTGGGGTCCCCGCGTCTCTTCCCTCTCCGGGCCCCAGCGTGCCTGGGGTCCCCACGTCTCTCCCTCTCCAGGCCCCAGCGTGCCTGGGGTCCCCGCGTCTCTCCCTCTCCGGGCCCCAGCGTGCCTGGGGTCCCCGCGTCTCTCCCTCTCCAGGCCCCAGCGTGCCTGGGGTTCCCCCACCCCCGTCTCTCTCCTGCCAGGCCCTGGGGGCATGATGGGGGCAAAGGTGGGCGGGTGGATGAGTGGCGCGTTGGGGGCTCAGCCGTGGTCCCCCACACACACACCCTCTGAGGGGGGGCTGACTAGGCTGCAGGCTCCGCAGGGCCCCCCTGCCCGCCACAGGCAGAGGGCAGAGTGCGTCTCTGGAGGAAGGAGGCGGGGTGCCTCTGTGGGGACCCAGATATCTGCGCCAGGGCAGTGTGTCCTGGGACGAGGTGACCGCAGCCTGGGGCCCCCATCCCGCCCCACGGGATCGCCCGGGTGTGTGGTCCGCTGGGCCTGACATTGTCTAAGTTTCCCGGACTTGTTCATTTTCCTTCCATCTTGATGAATTAACGGGAGGAGCATCTTACTGAGAAAAACACACTTGCTTCTACCGTTCTGTCGGCAGTCCGGGATTTCTCGGGTGTGAGAAACCCCAGGGCCACTGGCGGGACCACGTGTCTCCCGGAGGCTCCCTGGGGTCCGTGGGGTCAGCCGGCCCTTGGCAGGCGCTCCTGCTGTGCAGGCAGGCCCGCCCGGCTGCTTCGTTCAGACACACTTTGCGGGAGGGAATTAGTGTGAGACTGATTTCTCTTTCTTTTATTACCACCGCTTAAGGATAATCTAAATGTAATTACCATGATGGAGGCATAATGCCATTCCAAATAATTACAGCCCACCGCGTCTAAAACCAACAGAACTCTCCCCGCTGATTTACGGGTTCTTTTGGCTCGACATGCGTTTCAAACACTACCTTTGGGAGCAGCACTTCAGATAATGCGAGACCATTTTTAAAAAGCAGATTTGTGTAGTCGATTGGGGCTGAGGCGTTTTTTTTTCCTCAAGTCCGTAGTGAGAAATTGCTTGTTGCCATAGATCACGGGGCCGCTCCGAGCTCTTATGAAAGATGAATTAATTCCGCTAATGCTCCGAGGCGGGCCTTTCACGGGGGCTGTGTGCTGATAACCTCCCGCAGCCTCCCTTTTCTCACCGAGATTTATGTCGTCTTTTAGTAGATGAAGCCGCCTGTGTGCGCAATCCATCTGCTGGTAAAGGAATCCTATTAAGGGGGCATCTGAGCGGGGACTTGATATTGTCAGCTGCACGGCGTGCCCCCACCCCCGACCCCCGTGGTCTCCTCTCCAGGGGTGAGGGCCTCTCTGAGAGTCGGAGTGGGTGCCGGGGGGCAGCTGGCCACCCCCGGACGCCACGGGGGCTGGAGAAGGTGGCGATGGCCAGGGAGCCCAGAAGGGTGGACGGGACAGTGGGAGGCAGGGGAGACCCCAGTCCCGCCCGTGCACCCTGCTTCCATTTGCAACAGGCACCTACGTCCAGGAGCTTGTGCTTGGATGCCCCAGCCCCCGTCACGTGGGTGCGGACCGCAGGCCACTCTGGGGGCCGGACACTGGTCCTGCTTCTGAAGGCTCGCCCCGAGCCCAGAAGCCGGGCCTCTGAGGCAGGGCCGCTCTGCACTGCGGCTTCTGGTCTCCTGACGTGCCCGAGGGCAGCGCGGTGGTGATGACCACCTCCCATTCTCTGCAGGGGCAGTGGCCCGGACGGAGGGTCAGTCACTGCTTCTCTGGAGAGGCCACCGGGGCACGGGGAGGCACCAGTGCCTGGTGCACCTGGAGACCCCACTCCGCCTCCCGCTCCGGTGCTAGGAGAGGGCGAGGGCCCCCGAGGACCTGCCCGGCCCCTGGCCCCCGCGGGTGGCCACGCCCACGTGGCCCCGGGCGCTCAGCCCTAGGGGCTCCCGGGTCCTGCAGCAGCCGCGCCGGCCAGCGAGGCGGCTCTAACCGGCCGCGGCCAGGGAGGAGGCCAGGGGGGCAGGGTCCTGACGAAGACTCGTCCAGACTCAAGGCCGCTGTGACGCGGCCTGCCCAGGCCGTGCAGGGGACGGGGGCTACCAGCTGGGGCGGCTGTGGGAGGAGCCCCTCGTGAGGTCTGACTGTTGAGGGGGCGGTGAGGGGAGGCCCTTGAGCTGGGCGTCTGCGCTCAGTGGCCAGGCTGGAGCCCCTGTCTCCCTGGATAGGCGAAGCGTTGGGACCACAGGGGCCCCTGCCCCCGCCCCCTGCCTGTCCCCACGGGCTCTCCCCACACCCCTCCTGGGCACCAGCCCTGGACTGTCCTGGGAGGGCAGACGTTCCAGGAGGCCATGCCAGCATGAGGCTGCAGCCTGGGGGTCAGGAAGGGCCCCGCGTGGCCGTGTGGGTCACGCTGACACCGCCGTGGCCCACACTCCCAGCATGGCAGCATCACAGAGCCGTCGTAGCCGCACCCCCTCTCCCCCGCTGACCAGTATGGCCTCTTTGCCTTCTAGTGCAAGTGGTCGCGGAAAGGCTTTCTCCGGACGCGGTGGTGCCTCGCTGACTGGTATGTGCTCCACAGCCCCTGCGGCCAGCGCCCCCCTTCCCCCGGCCGGCCGGGGCTGGTGAGCCCTGCGATGCCCGGGGACCCCAAGCGTGGCCAAGAGGCCCAGCCCTCACTGGTGGCCCCTGTAGCCACGGCCAGCAGCTCTCTGAGCACGGGTGGGGTCCCTCGGGTAGTTGGGCACCCCCCCCCGCCGGGACAGGGCACCTTGAGGAGCCTGCGCCACACCCACACGCCGTGGACCTGTCCACCTGGGTCTGCACTGCAAGTGCTCCGCTGGGGGAGGCCCAACCTGCCGCTGGCTGACCGCTGTGGCCCCTCCTCGGGACCGCCCCCCATGTCCACACGGCCCCCCTTGCTGGGGCAGCATGCAGTCGGGGCGTCTCCTGGGCGGGGGTCCCAGAGCTCTGGGGTGGCAGAAGCCGAGACCGCTGCAGCCTCCTGACCCGGCCCTGAGCTGCCGCCCACGGCCCAGGGAGGGGCTCCGGGCTCAGTGGTCACCATGCGGCCAGAGCAGAGAGCTGGCGCTTCCTCCATGTGCTTGGGCGGGGGTGGGGGGCGTGCTGTCAGGCTGGGTCTCAGGGCCTGGTGGCCCCAACTCTGCAGGGGACATGGAGCCCAGCCACCCCTCTGCTGTGAGCCAGACAGGCCCCAGCGATGCCCTGGGGCTCCCGGCGGCCATGGGCCCACCCAGCCTCCCCACACCCCTGCAGGCCCGCAGGAGGCATGGGCCATGGTCTCTCCCCAAGGCTTTCCAGGGGCTGTGAGCTCGCGGCTGCTTCTGCAGAGTGAACTGAACCCCCCAGCGCCCCGACACTCCGCAGAGAGTGCTGGCCCGCATGGGGCCTTCGGGAGCACGGCCAGCTACGTAGGGAGCTGAGGCCTGGGCAAGCGCCCAGCTCCTCCCCGCCCGCTCCTCCCCGTCCTCCCTGTCCTCCCCGTCCTCCCCATCCTCCCCGTCCTCCCCATCCTCCCTGTCCTCCCCGTCCTCCCTGTCCTCCCCAACCCTCCCCGCTCCTCCCCGTCCTCCCCGTCCTCCCCGTCCTCCCCAACCCTCCCCGCTCCTCCCCGTCCTCCCCGTCCTCCCTGTCCTCCCCGTCCTCCCTGTCCTCCCCGTCCTCCCCACTCCTCCCCCATCCTCCCCATCCTCCCCATCCTCCTCGTCCTCCCCAACCCTCCCCCATCCTCCCCGTCCTCCCTGTCCTCCCCCATCCTCCCCGTCCTCCCTGTCCTCCCCGTCCTCCCCGCTCCTCCTCGTCCTCCCCGTTCTCCCTGTCCTCCCTGCTCCTCCCCGTCCTCCCCGTCCTCCCTGCTCCTCCTCGTCCTCCCCGTCCTCCCTGTCCTCCCTGCTCCTCCTCGTCCTCCCCGTCCTCCCTGCTCCTCCCCGTCCTCCCCGCTCCTCCCTCCCCCCATCCTCTCCGTCCTTCCCGTCCTCCCCAACCCTCCCCGCTCCTCCCCGTCCTCCCTCCCCCCATCCTCTCCGTCCTCCCCATCCTCCCCCATCCTCCCCGTCCTCCCCGTCCTCCTCGTCCTCCCTGTCCTCCCCATCCTCCCCGTCCTCCCCACTCCTCCCCCATCCTCCCCGTCCTCCCCATCCTCCCCGGTCCTCCCCCATCCTCCCCGTCCTCCCTGCTCCTCCTCATCCTCCCCCCATCCTCCCCGTCCTCCCTGTCCTCCCCGCTCCTCCCCGTCCTCCCTCCCCCCATCCTCTCCGTCCTCCCCATCCTCCCCCATCCTCCCTGTCCTCCCCGTCCTCCTCGTCCTCCCCACTCCTCCCCCATCCTCCCTGTCCTCCCCCACCCTCCCCACTCCTCCCCATCCTCCCCGTCCTCCCTGTCCTCGCTGGTCCTCCCCGTCCTCCCCGCTCCTCTCCGTCCTCCCTGCTCCTCCCCGCCCTCCCCGCTCCTCCCCGCCCCTCTGTTTTGGGGAATGGTCCTAGCATCCTCTTTGGGCCCCTTTGCTGCTGGTGGTGACCTTTGTGTGCAGGTCCTTCCTGTGTGAGGGTTCACGCGCGTGAGTCCAGCGTGTCCTCCGACCGCACGTCAGAGGAGGACTTGTCCGGGGCAGCCTGGTGGCACCTGCCCAGGGAGCGGGGTGGGATGGCAGGAGGCCGCCCAGGGGACCCAGCAGCTCCAGCCCGCGTCCTGAGCTTCCTGTCTGTCCCTGCAGTGCCTTCGACTTGGTGAACATCCATCTCTTCCATGATGCTTCCAACCTGGTTGCCTGGGAGACCAGCCCCTCTGTGTACTCGGGGATCCGGCACAAGGCCCTGGGCTACGTGCTCGACAGGTGGGTGCTGAGGGGCCTCCCTGCCCGCCCGCCTCTGGGGAGGATCAAGGCTGGCTTTTCACCTTGTCCTCGCTTGCTTTCCCCTGTTTACCAAAAATACAAATGTCGACCCGAGGATAAAGCACAACCCCCGACCCTGACCCCTACCCCCTTCCCGCTGACCCCTGACCCCTGCCCTCTGACCCCTGCCCGCTGAGTGCCGCCTCCCTCCCCGCTCTGCCCCTGCTTCTCAGTCCGAGCTTCAGGCCCCTGACCAGAGGGGAGGCCACCTCGGTGGTCTTCAGGACGCAGGCCTCCACCTCCTGCCCCGGCTCGCGGCCACCCGGCCCCATCGGAGCCAGTGCGCAGGGCCCCACCTGGGCCCTCTGATCCTCGTCTGTCCGCGGTGATCTCCCGTGACCTCCGCCACGTCAGCGCCGACACGCTGTCGTCTGGGAGGGAGAGGCAGTCTCACCCCAGCTAATCCGCCGTTTAGGCCTGGTTTGCCAGAGCCCAGCATCTGCGAGCCCCCCGCACAGCCCCGCTCTCAGGGGGCCCGGCCCACCTGGCCTTGGGAAGCATCTCCAGTTTCCCCAGCGCCCTGCCGGCCAGCCCGGACCCCAAGTTGTGCTTGGCCAGGACACGCCCTGGATGGAGTGGGAGGCCAGGGTTCTGTGCCCTGGGATGTAGCAGTGGTCACCAGCTCACTCCCAGGGTCCCTGAGGTCCGTCCGGCACCCTGAGACCCCGCACGTGGGGGACACGGGGGTCTGCCTGCCCTTGCCGCCTCCACAGCGAGCTCTCCTCAGGGCTGGGCGTCCAGCTGTGCCCTGAGCTGGGTGTCGATCCCCGGAGGCTGGGACAGCATGCTGGACCGGAGCATTCGCCGCTCGAGGCCAGGGTAGCCAGGCGCCAGCACGGCCGGGTTGGTGCTGAGGCTCCGGGCGGTCAGCCCTCGGGGGCATCGGCCTGCAGCCCAGCTGGAACAGGCTGCTTGGTCCAGGGGGAGGGGCGTGCGCGGTCTTGGCAGACTCGGGAGAAGCCCCGCTGGGAGGGGTGAGCCTCTCAGTGGCCGGACAGGCCTCCCAGGCCTCCTTCACGGCAGCGCCGAGCCAGCCAGGGAATGGGCTGCTCTTGGAGGCTGCGGTCGGTCAGCAGAGGCGAGTGGCCTCAGGGCCTGTCAGGGCCTGAGCTGCTGCAGCGCGGCCCCCGGGAAGCGGCCTCCGCGTTCCCATGGACGGCGTCTGTGGGGCGCCCAGCCAGCCGCGTCCGGACCTCCCGGTGCGGCCGGCGCCCGCACAAAGGGCTGCTCTGTGGCGGTGAGTGACGGACGCCCTTTCGTCGGGGCTGCTAACCTTTTGGCAGCCACCAGCAGACTGCATTCTGCTCTGCCGATGGGAGCACAATGCCACGCTGGGCCTGAATGGACGCTGCCACCAAGGGGGCCCCATTCAGGGCGTTGGGAACCTCTGGGAACATTGTCTGCGGCCAGTGTGGACGCAGAGAGGCAGCGTGGGGGTCCCGTCTTAATCTCCCTGGAGGGCCTCACAGGCCCGTGTTTCCACCCGGGTGTGGGTGTCAGGCCCGACAAGCCACGTCCTGCCCCCATAGGCTGGCCCAGGGGACCTGGGTTAAGACTGAGAGGCACCTCATGCCCTGCTTGCAACTGTCCTGTGACTCTAAGATTATTTCAAAGTGAAAAGCTAACTTATAAAGAAAAACACTCATGAGGAAGACTCTGGTCTGAAGTGTGTGAACTTGCAGACATATCTGCACTTCTTGCTGCGAGGGGCTCTGTGGGGAGGAGTCACCCCAGAGATGCCAGAAAATAGACTTTCCAGTGTTACTAGAGGGCGGATTTTATGGCAAATAACTGATGTTTTGCGCAATAATTTCTTGCTTGAAATCTCTTGTTCTGAAAGGTTAGAAGGAGACCAACCTCTAGTTAGGGAAGCGAACCAGGCTTAAAGATGTGGGGATGGCAGTATCAGGGCCTCTGCATGGGGCTGGGGTCCCATCCGCCTGGGGGGGGGCTCGGACCCTCCCCGGGTCTCGGGGGGCTGTGTGCACCTTTGTACCCGTGGGGGGGTCCTTGTCAGGCACACAGCTACACCCTGGGAGGGGAGCGTTTTGGGCGTCAACCCAGCAGCAGAGACCAGCTCACACAGCCCTTCCTGGCCTCTCCCAAGCTCTGGGCCGTGAAATGAGGTTTTTTTCCACAAGTGACAGGGCTCTTGTGTCTCCCTTTGCAGCGCGGCCCGGCCAGGTCCATAGGAACAATTTTACATCACAACTGTGAAATCCGGGCAGAAAGCACCCCTTTGTCCCCTGGTGTCTGCTCACAAATACAGTCCATTGTCACAGTGCTGAAGTTAATTTGGTCAACATTGGGACATTTAACTTTTATGTCCGGTCAAAAGAGTTGTTTCATGCTCATTTTGGGGCATTCAGAGAAAATGATTGCCAGAAAAATAAAGCTGCCCGGGGCGACTCCGAGCAATTAGTTCCCAGGGAGCTGCGGCGTGACTCGGCAGCCACACAGCCCCCTTTGTCGTCCTGCGGGCGGCCATCCGTCAGCTGTCAGCCGCTCAAAGGCCCGCGTCCTGGTGCTTCTCTCTGGGCCGTTCCCAGAGCTCGCCCCGCCAGCCAGCCAGCAGAAAAGAAAACCTCTGGTCTCCAGGCAGAGGCAGGCCCCGTGCTAAGGATGCAGGTCGCCGGGACGCCCTGCACAGTGGGCCCCCAGGGCGGCTGCTGTCCCCGTGTCGGAGCCCAGCTTGGACGCGGGCGTCCGGGCCCAACGGGCAGCCTCCTCACCACCCCGGCTCCTCATCGTCCAGAGGGCAGGGCCCCCGCGTGTTCCTGGCGTTGGGCGGGAGGGCGTGCGAGGTCCCGGGCTGGCCCAGGAACGAGCTGCTGTCCTGACATCATGGGGCTGTGATCCTGTGTGTCACAAAAGCAGAGCGCAGCGCCAGCGGAGGCGAAGTCGGGACCCCCATTCAGCGCGCCCGCATCGCCGTTTCCGTGTTGTCCTGCTCAGACGGAGTTGAGGGTGCTGCCAGGGCCCGCGCTCGCACTCTGAACCCGTGTCCCCCCCTCCCCATCCCAGTGCAGGGTCGTCCCACCCCACCCAGGGACCCCCTGCACGTTCCCGCACGGCCATGTGTGTGGGGGGGTCCCCGTGGTGTTTTGGCGGCGTCTGTGTTTGTGGGGTGCGGGCTCCCACGTGCATCCTAGATAACATCCCGACTGCCACGTGGACGGTGCACAACCGCTCCCTCCGCGGCGTGTCCCGGCTCCAGCACGTCCACACCACAGCTCACTGCCCCTTGAGGTGGCGCCTCCGTGCTTGTCCACCCGCTGGCCTCGCTTTCTTGGCCACTGTTTAGGCTGCTCGAGCCCTCCTTCGCTGCTGTACTGTGACCCCGCCAGCCCGCATGCTCAGTCAGGCTGAGCCGCGCAACAGCCTGCGTCTCCCGAGGGCCCGAGGGTCTCTTTGTGGGCGCCGAAGGGCTGAAAGTTCCCATTCTCAAGCCCCAGTGCTGCTTTCCTGGGCTGCGCTTGGAGCCCAGCGGCCCAGGAGGCTGGGGCACGTCTCTGCTCCTCGCCGGTGGTGGCGTCCGAGCAGAAAGGTGCTGTGACGTCACCGTGCTGTTAAAAGGACAAGTGAGAGTGAGTGCGAGCGGGCAGCATGCCCGGGAGGCCTGGAGCAGCCCGCCCTGGAGATACAGATGCCCCACGGGGATCTGACTGAGAAGGGCCTGCAGCCCCCGAGGCAGCCCCGTGGTTGGGGCGGTCTGTGCACAGACGGAGCTCAGGCAGGAGCTGGGGCAGCGTGTGCATCCCTGCAACTCTGAGCTCAGTCAGCGTGGCTGGCTCTGGGAGGCCTGCATCCTGGTTGGACGGTGATGGCCACCTTCTTGCCATGTCCTCGGGGGACAGAAGCAGCCACAGGCCTCTTATCTCACGGACACCTGTCCTGTTGAATCTGGGCCCACTTTCATGACCCCATTTGACCTTAATTGTCTCCAGTACCGTTTTGAGGGGACTGGGCTTCAACATACAAGTTGGGGTTACAGTCCAGCGCCCAGCAGGGCCTCATGCCTCGTTCCAACAGCAGAGCTCCGGCCACCAGCCCACTGAGACTAGGGCGGGCGTTTCCGACGTGGGGTGCAATCCCTGGGAACTCAGCAGCTGGCCCAGCACTCTCTGTCCTGCTGCTCTGGGCTGTGGCCTCCCCAGGTCTGCCCCACGTGAGGGCTGGGGCCCGGGTGTCTCCAGTGCCAGGACCCTGAGTGAGTGAGGCCAGGGGGCTGTGGTGATGGCTTGGCCTGGCCGCCCGCTGCGCGAGGCATGCACCCATCATGGGTCCTGGGGCGCCTGGCCTGGGAGACGCTGTCTGGGGGAGCAGGTGTGGCGGGCACGTCCCTGGGGCCCCTCAGGCCTGTGAATCGCAGGGACCTGGCGGAACCCCGGGGGTGGGCGTGTTGGGGGGGGCTCACCCGCCTGGCTCTGCTCTGTCAACAAGAGGGTCCTTCCCCAGTCACCCGGGCCCCCACCTCAGGCTCCTTGTGCCAGCAGCTGGCACTCCAGGGACCATCCCCCAGGGCTGAGGCACCCCCCAACCCACACCAGGGACTGTCCCTGGGGCTGCAGCCCCCCAGCCCACAGCCCACGCCAGGGACTGTCCCCGGGGCTGAGGCCCCCCCAGCCCACGCCGGGGGCCGGCACACCACATGGGGCGACGTAAGCATGCAGTCCCAAGAGTGGCTTCTAGGAAGGTCGGCCTGCTGGCGGCAGCTCAGAGGGAAGCCTGGTTGTCAGAAGCTCCCGCCGCCGTGTTTTGCTGATCAGGTTGTTCTCTCCGAGCACGTGGCCTCCCCCAGATCCGAGACAAGCCCGAGGTTGGGAGGTTGGTTTCTACCACGTTCAGCAGATAAAACTAACAAAAGAAGGGCCCATGCCCCGCTGCCCCGCCCAGCAGCCTGCCCGTGGCCTGAGCATCACGCAGTGAGCTCACCTGTCAGCAGAGAGAGCCTCCGTCTTCAAGGCCTAAACCATTGATTTTTATGGCCTTTCTTGTGACTCTGCTTCTGAATTAGGCACATGGTATTGATGTGGGCACACTTTTTAATCATAATAGCTACTGACAAGGTAATTAATTTTAAAACAACTCTTTTTCCTGCTGGTCCGAACGGCGCTATATTAAGATTAAAAGCGCGGGCCTCGCCCGCTCTCCGCGATTGCCTCTGTGGACAGCCGCTCCATCTCGCGCCCACGCTGCGGTTATTGATGGGCATGGGCCATTACGGCAGAAAGAGCAAAGCCCGGAAATATGATAAAGTTTAGGGTTTTAATGATGGAATTACATGACGAGACAAGGTGATGAAATCCGTCACCAGTCACCACGGCCGTCACAAGAGAAGCCACTGGGCTGGGTCCCAGGAAGGCTGCCCAGCGCCGCAGCCTCTCACCCTGTAAGCCCCCAAGCTTCTCAAAGTCCAATAGTAAATCGGAAGTCGTTACTTTGTATAAAAGGAAATTACCCCCAAAACAGGCCGCACAGTCGTCCGCGTCCCCAGTTCCGCGTTGGCCGTTTGCCCCGCTTCCTGGTCTCAGGGTCCATCTGTCCCTCGGCGACGAGGGCCGTCGGCCGGGCTCCCGCTTCACCAGCCCTTCCGTCGTCTGCTCGGCGCCTCGAGCCTCCGGGGAAGCCCCCGTGGGGACCGGAGCCCAGACCCAGGCCGACCCCGTGCGTCCCTCCGCCCCCGGCCATGGCCGCCTCCCGCCCCCGGGAGCAGGAGAGGGCCGTGGCCCCCCAGTGCCGCCACGCCTCTTCCAGAGCACGGGGTGGGGGGGGTCCCAGGAAGCGCGGCGCCCTGGCCTTTCCCACCGCAGGGAACAGGGGAGGTTCTTTAAAAATAAGATTGAGCATAAACGCACTGGCTGGAGAATGTGTAGGGTCCGGGTGCCCCTGCGTCTGCGCCGTGACCATCGCCGTGCTCATGTGTGACGCGCAAGCTGACACCGCGGCGGGGCGATGCCCGAGGGCAGCGGGTTTGCCTGAGTTCAGGGCTGTTCTCGGGGACCCTGCTCCTCAGCTTAATAAACAGGGTGACAGACCATCAGGACAGGGAGTGTAGGTGTGTGACATGTAAGGTGTGTCTGCTTCCTCCCTTCAGCAGATCAAGCGGAAGCTTTGCCTCAGTTCAGTTTTCCTTAAAAAGTTAATAAATACAAAGAGCAAAAGAAAAGTGAGGTGTTTGAGTGGCTTGAGATGATGTGTTGGCGGGAGGTGGTCCCAGGCCCCTGCGGGGGTCACCACCCCCTGCTGGTCCCCTGACCCGGGGCCCCCTGACCCAGGGCACTGAGGGCCGCCCCCAGGTCTCCCTTTGGAAGCAGTCCCCCTGGGCAGGGCACGGGTCAGAGGCCAGAAGCTGACCCTGGGGGCCTCCAGGCCTCTCCACGGGGAGTGGGGTCACCCAGCATGAGGCTGGAGGGCACGGGAAGGCCCTGTTCCCCCCCCCCCGCCCCCCGCATCGTGCAGCCAGTGGTCGAGGCAGGGGCTGGGAGGGCCGCCGTAAGTGGAGCAGGTTGGGGGCTTTTTGTAGAGCAAGGTGGTGTTTCCCGTGGGCGTCGCTCCCAGCTGCCCGCTGGGCTCTGGAGGCAGGGCTGGGGGGGCCTTGCTGCCTCTCCTTTCCTGGGGAGGGGGGCTGTGCTCAGGGCCCCCGGAGGTGGGCGACCCGGGGGCCACACCCCACGTCCTGATGGGGACACCACGCAGGTTCTCTGAGGCGTGTTCTTCTGGAGGCGTTTAACAGCTCTGAAGATTCACTTTTTCAAGATGGCTCAGGTCACGACAGTCTGTGGGGAGGTTCCATCCCCCCCGACACCGCCCATGGATGCCCAGTGGGTGGGTGGGGTAAGGGGCAAGGCTGGTCCCAGGCGCAGGGCTCCCCCGGGGCTGACCCTAGGGCCTCCCCGAGTTTTCATCCCTGGGGAGTGTCTCCTCTACAGAAGATTTAACTTTAACCCAAGAAGCGACATTACTGCTCATCTGCACTGTTAGTAACAATCTGTTAAAATATGTCCTTTCTCTTCAAACTCCTGTGTGTGAGAATCAATCCAGTTAAACCGGAAAACAAGACTTTTCGTGGAATTTAGCAACATGATACAGCAGTTAATGTGTAAGAAAAACATGGAAACAGCTGAGATTTTTAGAAGAATTTCAGTGAGAAGCGCATCTGTCATGAAGTACTGTTACTTAAAGCGACAGGAATGGGACAAACACGTGCAGGAAAGGAGAGTTTCCGAAGACCTGGCGATCAGGGACTCTGCAGGCTCCGGCAGGGAGGACTGAGCGTTTCCTGCAGGGTTAGGACCAGTCACCTCTGGAGAGACCAGTGGACTCAGATCCCGTCCTCCAGAGCAATTCCAGATGGATTAAAGGCCGCCGACTCCTCCCACAGCGGAGCCAGCCTGGGGGAGAATGCCTGGGGCCCAGCGGGGGGACGTGGGTGTGTTTCCTGCAAGGAACTCAAGGCCCCCGAGCAGGGCAGGAGCACAGGGCTCACAGTGCACTTTCCAGGGAAACTCCTGGAACTCAACCCTGGAGGCAAGGAGCCAAAAAGAAAAGCAGACAGGAGCAGTGGCGGGGAGGGCGTGGACCCATGTGTAAGAGGCGCGGCCACTGGCCTTCCCGGGGACGGGGTTGGGGGGGCGTTGGGGGGGTGATGGATGGACAGGGGGACGGATGGATGGATGGACGGGCAGAGCCCCACACCAGTTGATGGGCCCCCGCCCAGCACCATGAAACAGCGGTGACGCTGCTCCTGGCCACCTCTTCCTTCTCAGCCAACGAGTCCCTGGGAAAGGCCACCCCGGGGGGCTGCTCTCGCCCTCCACGCTGGGGCCCGCAGGGGTAACCAGGCGGAAGTTTCTGAGTTGATTGGGGGTGAGCAGTGCTCCCTGGCTCTGCCTGCCTGTGACACGTGCCTTCTCAGGGTCCACCGTGGGCCGAGTGGGCGCCCCCGACCCTGGGCCCCGGGGGTCTCAGTGGGGGCGTCTGTGCAGCCACGGCTGGGCAGCGAGCCGCCCTTCCCTTCTGCTGGGGCGCACGTCCGTCCTGCGAGCGGTCCTGTTACCAATAGTTCTCATCCTGCTTTGAGCCAGAGGTGACCAGCGCAGGCTTCCTTCGCCCACCCCCCAAGGCCAGCGTGGCTCCCATCCCTGCTCTGCTGAGGATCACGGCCTTTGGGGCGCAGGGCTGAGGTCGGGCGTGGCGGGCGGGCTGCACCTCGGTGACTCCTTCCCCCCTCTCCTCCCAGGGTGACCGACCAGCGGTTCGAGAAGGCGTCCTACTTTGTCTTCGGCGATTTCAACTTCCGGCTGGATTCCAAGTCCGTGGTGGAGGTAGGCCCCGTGGGAGCCTCACCTGTGTTTGGTTGTGTTGTGTGAACAGCAGAGCCTGTGGTCCTCAACAGGCACGTTCCCGCCCTCCTGCTCACTGGTTTGGTTATGGCTGAAATGCCTCGTGAAGAGCGCCGTGATGTTACGGGGGGCCCGTTATGGGAAGCTGGGGCAGGAGGCTGCGGTGAGGATGCCTCCTGGTCAGCGGTTCACGCCCGGTGCCTCCACTTCCCCTAGCGTCTCCTGAGCCCTCAGGGGGCTGGGTGAGGACCCAGTTAGCAGCAGGCATGGGTGGAGCCGGGTCAGACCAGCCGGAAGGTGCCCGGGTCCGTCAGGTCCTAGCTGGGGGCCTGGAGCCATGGGCTGGCTTCTCTGAGCTGGTGCTCGGCCGCCACATTTGACTCGTGGTGCTGCAGGCTGATGGCGAATACAGGGCCTCGAAGTGGGGAGTCTGCCTGCCGCCCGAGGGTAGCAGCTCCACCCAGACCCTGGCCTGGCAGGGGGCAGCCCACAGAGCCCGCCCAGCGTGGGCCCACCACACGTGGGTGTGTGGGTGACCGTGTCCCCCATCGTCTCCCTCTGGCCTCTCAGGTACAAGTGACTGCCCCCTTGCAGAAGGCTTCCTCTTAAACCTGAGCACTGCGGGGGGCACAGGCACATGAGTGTGGCAAGCGGCTGTCCACCGTTCTGGCGTTTTCAGACAAATGATGAAAGCCTGTGTTGGCTCAGTCAGCGGCATGGATCCCCTGGACGTGCCCCTTTGAGGCCCAGGCGATACCCGTGTGCACGCGGTGCTGGGAGGGGCTCGGGCCCCGGTGCCCACAGCCGTGCCCTCACCCGCAGAACTTCTTTGTGGGTTGAAAAGCCACATTGTCCCAACTTGAGCCCCCGAACCAGGGCATGTCTGGCCGGTGTTTGGGCCCGATGAGCCTGCTGTGCCTGGAACAGCCCCTCTTCTGGCCCGAGGCCCCATGCCAGGCCGTGGCCAGACCAGGGCTGGTGCCTGGGGGCCATTAAGACACACACTGGGAAAAGTCAGGTTTCCAGAGTGGCCTTTTCTTCTTCCCCAGAAGGGCAGACACCACAGAAACAGCAGCGGCTCTGGGACCAGGCGGGACTGCCCCGGGGGCACGGGCGCCCGGGGCTCTGGTGTCCGCGGTGGGTGGGGGGAGCTCGGGACGTGGCCCCTGGAGGGGAGGGGCTGTGCCAGGCCGGTGGGGGGGCGCGGGCAGCACAGTCAGGGCCTCGGGCCTCCTGCAGCGTTGTCCCCTTCCCTACCAAGTGGGAAGCAGAGGACACGGCCCTGGGCGTGTGCAGGCGTGAGCAGGCGTGTGCAGGCGTGAGCGGGCATGTGCAGGCGTGAGCGGGCGTGTGCAGGCGGGCGTGTGCAGGCGTGAGCGGGCATGTGCAGGTGGGCATGTGCAGGTGTGAGCGGACGTGTGCAGGCGTGAGTGGGCGTGTGCAGGCGTGAGCGGGCATGTGTGTGGAGCCAGACCAACCGCACACCCCCATAAAATGTGCAACCCCTCTCCCCTCCCCAGACCTGTCTACCCAGCATCCCTTCTCCTGACTCTTCCCCTTCAGACCTTAGCTTGACCTCAGGGACCCCCACTGCCATCACCCTAGAAGAAGAACTTCTGCCACACAGTGACCACGATGCACAGATGGCTGGTGCTCTCCGGGGTCTCAGGGGGGCTCTGGGCGGGGTCTCAGGGGGCTCTGGACAGGGTCTCAGGGGGCTCTGGGTGGGGTCACAGGGGGCTCTGGACGGGGTCTCAGGGGGCTCTGGGCGGGGTCGCAGGGGGCTCTGGACGGGGCCGGGCAGGCGCTGCCCACGGCAGGGCTGTTCATCCTCCTGTGTGTTCTCCCTGAGCACTCAGCCTGGCCTGCCCAGCCCAGCACCCTCAAGACATTGGAGCCCCACGTCCTTGACCAGGAGGGACAGGGGGGCAGCGAGCAGGTGGCTCGGCTGGAGCGGGGGCCTCCCTGGCCTCCCTGCCCTCGGCTTCTGTGGCCGGCCGCCCTGCACCTGCCCCTGACCCTGGTGTCCTGCCCCATGAGACAGACCCAGCGCCGGCTGAGCACCCCACCCTGCCTGCCTCTCCCGCAGGTGACCCCGTGAGAGCAGGTGCAGGGCAGTAGTTCAGCCGCTAACAGAGTCGTAGATGCCCCGCGTGCCTGCGTCCCTTCCTTGGGAGGTGAATTAACAGGCAGTGAATCAGCTGTGAGCTCCAGGTTAGGCGTTTTATGTCTTAATCGGAAGCCCCACTGACTGTACTGCGGACCGCACATCCGCGGTGCTGGGAAGCCCAGAGGGACCCACGCGGTGACGGGTCTGGAGCCTTGAGGGCCGAGGGGCTGCCCGGCGCTGGGAGGTGGGGCCAAGGTCACCCAGCGAGGGGCGTGGCCGGGACCATCTTCGGTCCAGGGAAGGTCTGAGGGGCATGGTCAGGGTCCCCCTGTTCCCCGACCAGACGTGGTTGTTTCAGCGACAGCTCTTCGCAGCAGTGCCTGGTTCCAGCCCGCGAGGCTGGGTGCCCTGGCCTAGGAGAAGCAGGGGTCCCGTGGGGCATCGAGGACGCACAGCGTGGCGTGTGATGTCGGGCCCACCCCCGTGTCCCATACAGTCGCCATGTGGCCTTTGGCCCCAGGCATGTGCAACCGATCAGGAACGTCACAGCGACCGCCTATGTTCTGAAGTTCCCTCTAAAGACACGGCTTTGCCTGGCGGCACCCCTGACCATGTGTGAACAGCGCAAGTGGATGCAGGCCGCCCCGAATCCAGGGGGGGCTCGGCAGGAGGGCCATGACCAGTCACGTTTGCCAAGGCTGGGTGCGCAGCGAGGCCGCCACTGAGCCTGGTGCAGCTGCTGCCCTCCCGCCAGCCGCGGGCTTGCTCTTCCCGCCCGAGCTGATGCCGTCGGTAACTCGGAAAACACGCTTGTGGGCACGCCTGGATCTAAACGGTCAGCTGAAGACGACCAAGCTCCTCTGTTGGGTTAACTTCAGCAGCTTTCCTACTGAGATCTTCAACTTCCACCTGCCGTGTTAGCATCTCGTGGACTGACGGGGTCTGCTGGCCACCGGGCCGTTCTAGAAGGATTTCTCGCTGTGGAAGCCACTTGGAGAAGCTTGTAGGAACCAGAGAAAGCTTCCCCAGGTTTTCCCAAAAGGCCGCTGGGCAGAGGGAGGGCTTCCTGACATGAGCGGCAGCGTGAGAACCCGGTGCCAGGCGAGACTACCGGGACTTCGCCACCTCAGGGCCGTGGCTGTAACCGGGGAGCCGTGTGAGGGTGGGGGGCCCCTTCTTGGGGCTTGCACGGTCCCGGGGAATGGGGACTCCAGGGTGGGGCGGGGCTGGGGTGCCCCTCTGAGGACTGAACCCAGGAGTTGCGGCCCCGGCCCTTTGCTTCCAGACAACAGGCACAGGGCTTGACCCGGGGCCCTGGCCTGGGACCGACCCTCCCCCGGGTGTGAGCGGCCCCAGCGGCGACCCCGAGAGACGCCTGGGACTGGTCTGCAGACCAGGTCGTGGGGCAGCAGAGACCATGCTGGTTCCTGAGGAGACCCGTGTTCCTGGGGAGGCCTGTGCCCACAGCTAGCGGGTCACCCCACAGACAGTTTTCAGATTGCCCAAGATCAGCGTCGGGCCCGAGGCGACCCCAAGCGGCCCAGACCGCACTGCAGCCCTGCAGGCAGGAAGGTCAGAGGAGACGGGGACAGGGGACGTCTGCCCGCCGGCACCTTCTCGCCTGGAGGTGACACGGGACCCCCCTGAGGAGGGAAACCCAGGTCACCCGCTGCCCGCCTGACGAGAAGCTGCTGGCCGGGGCTCTGGTTTCCATTGCTGATCCCTGGCCCCGGAGCGGCAGGTGCGTCCTCCCCAGCCTGGGCCCCTGGGGTGCCTGGGGTGTTGTCCTGCTCCTGGTTGCTCACCCCACCAACTCCTAGGGGAGCCCTGAGGAGAATCAGATCCTTCCCAGGGCAGTGAGGGTGCCAGGCAGCCGTGAGGTGGGGGCAGCAGCTGGTTCTGCCGGGCTGCAGCGGGCAGGGCCTCTAGGAAGACTGGCCGACCGTGGGCTCCAGGCTGAAGTGGAGCCCCACTGGCCTTCTGCAGTGCGGGGTCTCAGGCACCTTACTGGGCACCAGCCTCAGAAAGACATGCAAAGTGAAAGGCTCTCCCCACCCAGAACTAGAGCTTCACATCTCAGATGCAAATTAATACGAACAAGCTCGCAGAGCAGAACCGAGAAGATGGTCCAGTGATCAAGCCTGGCACCGCCAAAGCTGTAATTAAAACATACACAAAAGTAAACGTGGTGATCACGCACCGTCTAATGGGCTGTGCGTCCCGAACTAATTAACGGTGCTCAGCCCTGCCAGCGAGATTGCTCAGAGAGCATGTTCCATGCCTTGCGTGGTGGCAGCTGGCAGCTGGGCACCCAGCCGGCCAGTGACAAAGAGAGACAGCAGCGCCAGGCGCTCCCATCTCCGCCAGCCCGGCCGCGCCCACCTGCCATGCGTCACCACTGACAGCCCCAGGAACGGGTGCATTTTCGGAGGCTGGCGGCAGTTTTTAACGCCTGGCTGCTGGCTGCTGACAGGTACAGGCTCAGGTGCCCCCGCCCCCCCGCCGAGGACGCGGCTCCTCAGAGACTGCAGCCTTCCCGGCACTCACGGTCTCGGGGCCCCAGGCCTTGCTGCGGGGGCAGCCAGGCTCCCAGCGCTGACGGCTTGGAGCCCACCTTGGAGGGGGACAGGAAGGGGCAGAGCCCACCCCACGGCAGGAAGAGGACACGGGCTGCCCATGGCCTCCTGGCCCTGGCTGTACCTACGACCAGGGCAGGGCGGCTTCCCATGCGGCCGGGAGGGGCCTCACCCCTGGTCATCAGCCAGGCTGGCCCTTTGCAAGGCCCCATGAACCCACCCAGCCTGTCTCTGCATATTCTTACTTCTCTGGTTAAATTTATTCTCTGGAACTCAGGGAGGGCCTAGGAGGCTGA